AGTGAATTGTCATATTATCCTAGTAAGAACAATAAATAACAAATAAATACCAACACTTAACAAATGTTAGAGAAATCTGTTCATGTCTTGAGTCTGAAAGAAAAAAAACCCAATTATGTTGTCCAGTATATTGTTGTTGACTTTTTTTAAATCACCAAATATTGGCATCCTATATCAGTCAAGCTCAATCGGAGAAGACTCATAGAGGTAGTGAAAGAGGACGTACAGATGGTTGCTGTGGCAGGTGGCAGGAGATGAGCTGTGGAGACCCTTTAAGGGAGCAGCTAAAGGAAGATGATGATGATTCTGACACGCCTTGCTAAAAATTACAATTAAAATTAAATTGAATTAAATTAAAAGCTCTCTTTTTCTCTGCTTGCACACACTATGTACAGCAGAGGTTTCCCCAATGTGCCACATAAATTACCAAAGCAGCTTTTCAGACTATATACATTTAAAACTGTGAGTGTCAGTCTCTTTGTTTGTAGACTGTAAGGAGGGTATTGGGCCTATGGAGATTCACATCATGGGCGTGCAGCCAACAAACCGGCAGCAACTGACTGTGCGATGCTGTCATGTCAGTATGGAGCAACAATCTCATTCACCACCTTGTTGAATGAGGGAGCACTGAAGGCAAAAGGTATCAGTCATCATCTCTACCATCAGCATCATCGCCCCACGTTTTTAACCCTGGAAGTTGTACCTCCACCACCATCTTTGTTATGACTGAATTCCCATTGATTACAGCTCTAGGATATTTGGCTACCACCTCTTTCTCTCTGATGATGATGTCTCCTTTTCATACAGAGCGGATAGCTGTGGTGAATCAGTGCAGACATTTTTTTTATTATTTAACGCCATTTATTTAAAAGATTAGTGAAAGAAGCAACACGTAAATACAACTTAAGACCAAATACTTGGCACGACTTCAGCTGTAGCTTCTAGCTAATATACCATAATATGCACTTTAATTTAACTACATTATTATTTGACACAAACTAGATATGCAAGCGGTTTGGTTGACTGTGCACCGTTACCTCGAATCACATAACTACTATCAATAAAACACTGACCTCGCATCCTCGCTTTTCACTGCTGGTGATTGAGACATGTTTGCAGCTCACGGTTCCTCACAGGTCTGATTACAGACTCTGTTCCGGCCAAAACAACTTTTAAACACGACGATGAGATATTTTTCTGGACATCTAGCAATGATTCTGTGATGGACATTAAGTGGCCTGTCAACGCTAGCAACTCCTCACTGTACTTTCGCCGGGGAAACAATCGCCAGTTTAACATTATATCAACATCCGGATCAACGCGGGTCAAACGCACGTCAGAATGTGTGAGCTAAAGCGTTTACTGCCACCTACCGGTGAGTCCTACCTATTCAACTGGACGGGACAGTGTCCCCGTAAAACATGTTTTAGATCATTTTTTTAAATAAAAAAAAATCTAGATTAAATTGTAAAACAAAAAAAACCGTTGTATCTTTAAATTTACAGTTACTATTTCTACTACTGCTACTACTACATAATAATAATAATAATAATGATAATAATAACAATAATATAATAATAGCTGGCATTGACAAAAAGAACACAAAGAACAGCAAGGCTTGTTTAAACAGCAATAAATAAATAAATCAAAACAACAGGAAACTAGGTATCATAGATTGAGAATCTAAATGATAACATTTTCTGCTGGTTAAAGCCTGGCTATAGAGTAGAGGTGGTTATGGTCTGTCCCCACAGTAAGAGTATGATGCAATTAAATCTAATGAAGTTGCAATGGTAGCACTGTAATTTCCCAGATGCTGTTTTTTTGTTTTAGTTTTTCATTTGATGTTTATTTTATTGTTCGTTGATATTGTTCTGCATGAAAAAAGCCAGTTCAAAAGAACAATCCTGCTTTCCATGTGGGTACTCCAGAAGGCTGTTTGAGCAGTGTTTAGTAGATGAATCCTTAAATTACATTTACTCGGGTAAATAACAAGTGGTTTGGGTGGATAAGGAAATGCATTCCAGACAACCTCATCCCATTCGTGAAACATGGTGGTGATGCTGTCATTGTTTGGGTCTGTTTTTCTGCATACGGGCCAGGACAGCTCACCATCACTGAAAGAGCAATGAATTACATGCTACGCCTCCGAATTCTAAAGGAAAATGTTGGGAAATTTGTCTGAAGTGAATCTCAACTGAAAGCAGGTTGTGCAAAGCAATCAAGTGGTTCTACAAAAGGACGGTCATAGAGAAATTGAGTTATTATATTTAAACCAAGAGAAATCTCATGAAAGAGCCCGAAGTAAGGAAACATACCAAACACCCAAAGCTTTAAGACAACTGAGCTTAAAGCTTTAAGCTTAAGGTTGTGTAAGACTGATATGACTGTCTACTGTTTTCCTAATAATGTTAGGCTGATATTTGTTAGATCAGTTTAGCTGGGTTCACTTTATTACCTTTTACAACTTGCAAATTCTAAAATTAAATAAAGCACACAGTAAAATGCCACATTTGGAAAATCGGAACAAAGGCTAATTCCACAATTATTCATAATTTTGGAAATTATATTCATTGGTGTATATTTCTTAGACCATATTTTTCTCATATATGTATTTAATGTAATTTTGTATGCATAGTGTATTGTGGTTTTATATAACTGAATGCTGTAAATCTTCATTGTGCATTGTGAATGTGAAACACCAACGAGGGACAAGGGTTTGGAAATTAGGGCGCATTTTGATTCACCACTGAAACACATGAAATTGCCTGTAGAAGCCAAAGTTGGTCAGGCCACACTGTTAGCTATGGTTGAATTTCATTCGATCCTGACCTCAACTCACCAGCTTGCCTCTATAGATGTACTTCTTGCTGACTTACTAAAGCAGGCAGCTTTTTTAATGTCAGGGGGTTGGTAAGTAGTTAGGAACCAGATTAAACCCATTTGCTTTTGTATTTTAAGTCCTTTTATAACTTTTACCCTGCAGTACTTTAAACTGGCTGACCATTTCAATGAGCAGGGGACACACTATTTCAGTTATAGTCTACAACTTGCTTAAATTGCTGTCATTCAAACACTCTGTCCATCCAGAAAGAGCTCCAGTGTGGGCTGAAAAGTTATGCAAATTCATAGTTACATTTAATTTTACCATAAACTCATATTATACACACCTAACATCCTAAAGGCAGTGCAGGGCAGGGAGCCTGATCTGGGTGTCTGTCAGTCAGACACAAGCAAATCAGAGAAGCAGTTCAAGGGACTTGTATGGAGTCGACCTGAAGGTGGAGACAGAGGTTCAAGTGCAGGGTTTCTGCAGCTCAGACATGGTCAATAACAACAGGAAAGTCAAATCAAACCTACAAAAAACCCCACAGCCATGACTAGTACGAAAGTCATTCTTCGGGTTGTGTCATAGTTTATGTTTTGCCTTGTTTGTCTTTGTGCTCCTCCTTTCTGCTGTTCCCTGAAAATTTATTTTTGGAGGGGCAGACTTTGTTATATTTTGTTGTAATTCAGCCACCAAAGTTTTGACTTATCCTTTTACCCCCCAAAAACAATTAAAAAAAATAAAAATCATGCACTCACATAGCAACTTTCTCAGTGTGTTCCCTGGTCACGTCTCTGTAGAAGTTGCACTGGCAATCCCTGTCAGACCTAAACATCTACTATTACTTTCAGCACGTGAGCTGCTCAGCTCAACAAAGGAAATTACTGAATGCTAAGAATGTTCTCATGTTTTTGGCACTTTCAGTATATGGTTCAGTGTCTCCCGCTGCAGTCTGGTTCGATAAACAAGACTCAGAGTTAAAGTTGGTGTGCTGATCACTCCATTAGTGAGTGAAAATTGTTGCAATACACATAAATCTCTGTCATATGTTGAAGCCATTTGGAGACAAAACAAGCGAGTGAAGTCTGTCTAAACTGCGAAAGAGGAACTCTTATTTAGTAAATGTCTATGAGCTCTATGTTGCCATGGTAATGTTACCTGTAATATTTTTCATAGCAAAAAACTTCTGCAAGAAGTCGAGCATTTGGAGGGAGAAGCAACAAACAATGCAGTAAAAGGAGAAGGCGGTTGATTGACAAGTGTGACTGGTTGTTACATGGAAATATGGTTTCAACAGATTATCAGTATGTGGAAAATACTTGCGTGCTGAGGTGTTGCAGCGATAGGACGAACGTTTAGGCAGCCTGTCAGAGCAGGTACAGGAACAGAGTGAGGCCTTTCGCTCTGAGTCACACATTCTGTAGGCGTAGCTTTGTCACATTTTACTTTTAATTGTTGCAATTTTTGTTGTAGAGATTTGGACTCCCGATTATTAGACAAAGTCAAACGAGGCTAAATGTCAAAAGGTTCCTTTTAAATCTTAACACATTACTGACTACAAAATATACACAGTACACATCTAAAGCGTTAATGATTGCGGGAAAGGCAGCTGTGACTCACTGTCACGAGGTGGATGGATCACTAAGGAGGCTGACGTTACAAAGTTTCTTGTGTAAGGCAAGTCTTTAACCGTCACTGCGTTTTTGTCTTGTAAGGATGGGTGTGCGTTAGAATTACAGTGCTTGTTGACAAAACATTTTTATAAAGAAACTGAGAAGTATTTTTTAGTAGATTCTGTATTTTGATGTAATGCAGTATTCCTTGATTCACTTTTCACTTACAACAGTTAATTAAGAAAGTAACAAAACGGGGTAAAGTTTGTTTGCTTGTTTTTTAAAGAATGAACAATATTAATTACTCTGGTTACATTTCAATCAATTCTGGCACGGCTCCATATGGAGCTGTGCCAGCAGACTGGCTGCCAACAGACATGACATCCAATTGCAGACTCCACTGCAAGGCTTCATTCATTAGCATCAATGGATAAGCTCTATGGCACTTAGAGAATGTTGTTATAATCCAACACTAACAGCAGAATTAACATTTAACTCTTAAAAACATCCTGATCAAGAGCATGTTAGCATAAGTAGTATATGTTACCATGGAGACCTGGTGAGGTTATTGAGAGCCACATTTATTAAGAACATTAATCCTGATCACAGAGGACTAAAATTCAAAATATTCTACACCAAACTGCATTAAAAATATTTTGATAGAAAACTTCTGCATTTCAACAAATTGTTGCATTTAATTCTTGATCTGCATCCACAGCTCTGAAGTAACGTAAAAATCAAGAATTTGACGATGCTTTGTGAATAGATGGAGTAGGGACGTTGGGAACCGGAAACACCACCTTCTTCCTGAGTGAGAAGGCTGGCTGAGGCATCTGCTTTCTTTGACCATACTGATCACTCTTCTTGCTAACATCTGCATTCACTTTTGTCAGGATTGACATGAGATCAAACTCCCTAGGAAAAATAAGACACAGGGTGAGCTAATGTACAGCATTTTTGTAAAAAAGCATTCTTCTTCATTTAAAAAAATAAATTTTTTTTTATTATATTTGATATTTTGGTTCACTAACCTGGGCACCATCTGAACAAGGTTTTGGCACAAAGACTGAATAAACCAGGTGCCATTGGTTCTCTCTCTGAAGGAAACATGAAAAGGAACTGTGGCCATTCCCAGCAGGAAATCTGCACTATTTGGGATACCCTGTTTAGCCTTTATAGCATCAGTCCAATGAAAGCTGTATGCAGAGCTATCAGATTCAATGAAGACAGCTTGCTGCTCGTGGTTTCCCTGGCAGGCCTGGATGAAAAACAGCTTGGGCTTGCCCACTAAAGACGGGCAATTTAATCCATTGAAAAGGTCCGTCAAATCACTGATCTTGACAGTGGATCCATCCACACCGTACACGCTGCCTTCCACACCATGACTCAGAACACAGCACACTACGCAGTCAAACCGACTGTGGTCTCTTTTGCCAAGCTCCTTGAACACAGAGAGCATCTGGTTCGTGTCACAGTCATGGTGGCTCTCCACTTTAAAGCCGAGCCACTGAAACACACTCTGCAGACATTCTGGAAGAAACAGACGATCTAAGGATGATGCAGGACCACAAACATGAAGCGTATATTGACTGCCAAAATTTGCTTACTTTGATCCACTTCAGTTCCTTCCCGTTTCCTTAGTTGGCTGGACTTACTGAAGTTATCGTTGTTAACAATTAAACAGATGCCCCTCTTTTCAGATGTCATGGGATATGTTCCCAAGCCCTACAGAGATAAATGACACAGATTACAGGGAAGACATGATTCAGTGCATTACTTGTAAACTTCTATTTGATCCACAAGTTAAACTCTGGAATGAAAACTAAGTATACAAAGGGAAGAATGATCCGCCTGGAGGGCTCCAGCTCAAATTAAATGTAGTGCCAGGGCCGTAACCAGTGATTACGATTTAAGCATGTCACATATATAAGAAAAAAAATACACACACCTCATCTTGTGTGTTTGTAGATGGCGATATCGGCATGGTGACGGACTCCTTTTCTTGAGTTGATATAGCATCAGTTGTCATAACAGGACAGGTGACTGCAAAGAAGGGCAATAATTGCGGGGGGAACAATTATATTTCAAGGTTTTAAACGTCTGGTATTATTTCACAAAAAGCTAAACAAGAGTTTAGCTATTGTTTGAATCACGACTGCTCGTCTCAGTGCTTAACCCATTCGATTCAGTTTAATTTATACAGTGCTATGTCAAAACAACAGTTGCCTCAAGGCCCTTTATATTCTAAGGTAAAAGGTTTTGCGACAGGGAAGGAAAAACTCCCTTTTAACAGGAAAAAACCTCCAGCAGATTTAGGCTCAGGGAGGGGCGGCCATCTGCCGCAACCAGTTGTGGGTGAGGGGATGAAGATACCAAAGACATGCTGTGGAAGAGAGACACTGTTTATGTGACTGACGCTCTTTTTTTTTTTATCTCCCCATAAGAGGAATGCAGGAAAGTCAAATTCAAAGATCATTAAAAATGATTTCAAAACAAATCTTTGACTAATTCCTGACTGAAGCTAATGATTCTAACAAACTGATTTAGAGTATTAAATGACTTTGCTTGTATTCGTATGCAATAGTGATACAAAAATAACCTAAGTAAATTTTGATAGACTTAAAAAAAACAAAAAAACAACCCATAATAGTAGTGTTTCAAACTGTAAGCTTAAGACAAATTTGAAGCCCGCTTCGAACCAGATATGGCTATCCAAGCATCTAAATGGAATGCAAAAGGAAATATGACTTTTACAGTTAGCTGGTTTTCCAAATGGGCCCCTCCCCACTAAAGATCGACAATTGCCCTGATAAGGATCAGAGCAAACAGAGTCCTAGCTTCGCTCTAGTAAAAACATAAACAAAAAACAGAACCATTAATAAGATGGAATGTGACTGTAAAGTGAAGTGAAGATAAGACACAGCACCCTCTATTTAAAGCAAATGGTCAAAGTGCATGCCTGCCCTGCTTTAAGGCTATGGTTACATAAACTTTACTTATGTCTTTTCACAGGCATAAAGTCATAAAGCACTGTACAACAGTTAATAGAATGGAAAAAACAAACAACCTGAAAAAGCAACCTGTCAGAACAGAACAAAAATAATGAAATAAGATAATAATATTAATAAAAAGAGAATGTCAACAGAAGGCCTGGCTAAACAGGAAAATTTCAACAGAAGGTTTTGACTCTTCAGAGTCGCAGAGAGAAACGTAGCTGAAGTGGTAAACTGCTCCAGAGTCTTGGTGTCACAAACTGAAAGCCTCTGTCTGCAAATGAACACTGTGAGAAATAAGATGTTACAGTGAAGAATAAAATATTACAGCTGCATTTAATCATTTATTCCAGGGTTAGTGTTTTGGTCCATCTTCCTCCCCTCACCCTGTTGGCATCAGACAGCCGCCCCTCTCTGAGCTTCTGCTGGAGGTTTCTTAATTCAGACGTTAAAAATAACTTTTTCCCTTCCTGCCATCACCATGTGCTGCTCATACGAGGTTGTGTGATGTGATCGTTTACGTTCATTTCCTTATTATGTAGGATGTTTACCTTACAATACAAAGCGCCGTGAGGCAACTCTTGTTGTGAGTTGTAGAATAACAATGGACCTAGAATTGAACCTTGTGGAATCCCACAGATTAGAGGACCTGTGTTTTTGTCCCAACAGAAAAGTAATCTAATTACCTCAGCATAATTAAAATAGAAAAGAATAGAACTTTGTTTCTTTTCCATCTTTACTTACAAAACAAAGTAAACAGAATGGCAAATAGACTCAAAAATAAAATCAAATGAAACTGAAATTACATTCAGCAAGAGACGTTTTGTGAATAGCTTACCTCGCCGTTTTTTAAACTGGTTGATCTTAGCATTCAGCATGGGACACACCTCCCTCACTATGGTCTCCAGGGTGTTTAGATTACTTTCGCTAAGGTGGTCCATGCGCTCCATCTCCAAGAAGACTTCCAGTGTAGTCTGAAAATGACACAAGGTCTTTGCACTGATGGAAAAATGAAGTGTATGTGCGGAAGTTCTGCAGGTTTGTTCAAAGGAAAATGTGACAACGTATGGCAGGCGATGCTACGGGTAACAAGTACACATACATAACACATTGTTATAAAGAAGGACTAGAATGAAATATTATGGGCTACATTTACCACATTTCTGAAGGCGCACTTACAATATGTTCCCCCAGTTTTCTACGTGGGATCATCGTGTTTAACAAGAACGTCACTTCTCTCAGATCACCATCAGTAATTTCTTCAGAGAGGCTGTAAAGAAGCTTCCTGGAATTACAGAAAAACATTTGATAGAAATAGCTTTACAGATTAAAATTTATTTTTCAATGTAAACCTAAATCAGAAAAACGAAACAGTACGAAGCGAAACATGAACGGCATACCTGTAGGGAGAAATAAAGCTCGTTGTCGTATGTGGAGCGAGACAGAGATCCCGGATCAGGGCATGATGTTCAGTAGTGACCAGAAGCTCGGTCAGGAGCTGTGGGTTCTCAGGTGAGAGATGGTCTTGTTTCATCAGGCAGGAGAAGAGCTCACTGGCCGTTTCCACCTTGTTTGGCTTTTGGTCCAGGAGGTCAGTGCAAAGAAAGACCAAGGCTTTCACTTCATCTTTAGACAGTGCCTTACCCACCTTTAGCAACAAATTTTGGAATTCCATTTCCTGTATTTAAAACAAAGTACAAGACTTTCAGAAACCAGAAATTTAAATATGTAGCCTAGGTCTGTTGTTTAACTATGCAAAGTGGTCACATCATGCAAATTGCTCCTTGGAGAAATGACTCAAAAATAGTCATTTCAATAATACTTTTTTGCATTCTAGATGATTTTACGTCTCTTACGAAAAGGCAAATAAATAGGGCTGTCTTGATGTTGTACGTTTTCTCCGTTATTATTATTATTATTATTATTATTATTATTATTATAGCATGTCTAGAATATCTTATTTGATGTCTAGAATACAAAATTGATGTATCTATAACTCAACGAAAGCTGCCCCTTACTACCAACTGCGCCTCATAATTCCAGCTGACCATGTCCATTCACCCCTTTATGACCCCAGTATATCTATCCTCTGATGGTTGCGTCCAGCGGGATATTACACCATGTCACAAACATCAAATCATCTCAAGGTGGTTTCCTGAACACGACAATGAACTCGTTGCACTGAAAAGCCCTCCACAGACATCTTAATCCAACAGAGCACCTTTGAGAGGTGGTGGAAGTGGAGATCCATATCATCGGTGTGAAGCTGAGAAACCTGCAGCAACTGTGTGATGCCATCATGTCATGTCGTTTTAACCTTATTGAATAACATGGTAACACGCAGAGTTTACTGTATTCTCATTTTTCAGTTAGTCTTATGTCCCGGAAAATACATTGCATAACTTCAGCACACTTAAAGGTAACCCATGGTAGCCATCTGTGCTCAAACACCATCTCGTGCAGAGGTACCTGTATGGACACGCGTTGACAGCTTGTCTGAAGGACGACGACGACGACGACGATACTGGTTGTTTATGTCCACATACTTCAAGCGTACTTCATGTTGTCGGTGGCTGCTGAAAAATGGTTTAACTCGCCATCGAGAACGTCACAGACTTCGTAGAGCAACTTTTCAGTAGTTAAAGTAAGTCCAGGCGAGTAAGCAGGAATCGAAAGTGAAAGAGAGTCTGCCGCATCGACAAGCTAGTTACTGTGCGGATCACTTAAATGTAAAGGTGAAAATATAGCAACCTGTTTTCACTCAGTGGGATGTGTACTCCAACCTGCCATTATGTCAACAACTACCTGTGTGACGCACGTGGCCTCGATCGGGAATCACCTCTGCGTAAGCCTGGAGTCATGTCTGGGCAAGTCCCCGACGAGGCAGGTTAATAATAAATCTAGATTGAGTAACTATAAAGTCTGTAGACTAATAAAAGAAAAGTGCTCACTCCTGTTTACTTTCAAAATATTATGATCACTGAAACATCAAACTCTGCCTTGTGTCTGCTAACAGGATTTCTTTTATACCCATAAAAGACAAATCTGTGTTGCTTTCATCGTTCATTTCCTAATGAATTCTCTGGAAAAATGTAGTTTTGAAGTCCATTTTTTGTTACAGAAGCTCACCCAAAGCACTTTACAGGCATACTCAATTTAGGCCTCCAGTAATCCAATTACACATAATAAGACTCAGACATACGATGATTCAGATGTGTTGTGTTTACTTGGTCCTTAAGACAACTCTAAAACAGTGGCTCTCTTCAAACCCAAACTAGTTGTCTAATGGCAGAAACATTCTCACTCCCATGTTCCAGCTGCTTATATTCTACATGTCCTCCATTTCACCTGGCAGAAAAACCTCAGATCAAATTAGTGAGCAGTTTGAGTTTGGAAAAAATTCTGCTTAAATGTAGATCAAATCGCATTTCTTGTGAAGTTAGAGTCTGACAGCCAGGTTTTATTTGCTGACTGATTTATTTTGACATTCAGGGAATTACAGCTCACAGCAGTGAAAAAGCATTTCTGCCTAAAATGAACAATCGGGCACTACTATTCTGATGAAAAGACAGCCCAAACATTATAACAAAATCACAACTCTTGATATGAACAGTACATCAGACAAGATTCAAATCTTAATTCAAAATAATAATTTTAATAATAATTAAAAATTAAAACTGCATAATCATAGCGGCATGATTTGAGATTGATAAAAACAAGCTGTAGTCATTAAAAGGGTGTGGGGTAAAATTTTATGTTGCCAAATTTTTTTCGCTTTGAAGTGTTGGATAACAAAGCTCAGTGTCCTAAAAGTAATGAGGTCTCACCTCCATTCATGTTTACATAAACCAGATCCTATAAGTAAAAGTCACTTTAAGAAAAATCGAGTTTTTCTTCTGGGAAAGAATGTTTATAAAAAGCTATCTACTTTGAATTATCCTTAATCTTTTCTAGTAGTTGTGCGTTTTATTTTGGCTCTGTCTTCAGGGTCTTGATTTGCCCTCTACGTCTCACTCTCACATGGAGCCACGCGTGGGACTTTGCTCCTGAGCGGTTGAATCTGAAGGATTCTGAAGGAAGGGGGAAAAAAAGACAGAAAAAATGCTAAGCATGTTACAAAATTCATGGGGCAGTAGATGCTTGTATCAAAAGTCAATTGCATTAAAAAAAAAATAGACATTTAAGTCAAAAAGCATTGGTTTAAAGCTTTCAGTGCAAGAGATGCAGTAACTATGGCACTTTGGCTCCACATTTGACGCTTCACTAAACAGCTAAAATGAAACAACAGAGAAAAGCCTGCAGTGAGAAGAGTGATAATGGGGTCCTGTGACTAACCAGAAAGCTAAAAAGAGAGGAAAGCAGAGATCAGGCAGCCACAGGGAGCCGTTGTAGTGAACCGAGTAGGGAATGGGTGTGTAAAGCTTTGCAAAGGTTGAATCCCAGCTACAGTCAGATGCAGGAGCTGCAACAAGGTATAAAGATGCCCAGATGGTTAGGAAAGGATAAATCCAATTGATTTTTATAAAGGAGAAATTAATCAGGATTAGCAACGATTGTTATGTCCCAAGACTAGGGTTGCTAACCGTCCCTTGAAAAACTGGATTTTTCCATATTTAGAAACAAAAGTATTGAGCTGAAAAAGGGACGCACTTTGTCAAATGGTTAAAAAAATAATTTCACACAAAAACAAGAGCTAAAAAATTCCCCCCACTGGGAAGGGTGAAGACAATCGGGTCGCCCAGCCCTGGCCATGAGGTGTCCCTTATTTATTTTTCAGGGAGTTGGCAACCCTACCCAAGACACTTCCCCCTAGGATGATTCCCAGGTTTCTTGCCATCCCAGCTGGCACCACCACCACCTCATTGTTAGTGACCTGTTCTCTGTGAGAGGACACTTACTCAGCTCTTTCCAGGGTAGAAATCTAATGTTCATTTCTCCCTTTAAGTTTCACCCTGTGCTGTCGGTGTATGACAACTTTAAGTAGAAAAAGACACCTCGTGTGAAGGAAGAGTCACAGTGAAACAGACTTCAACACAGCAGAGCTGCTATCCAACAGGTTCCAGACGCTGTGGATGTTATTACAGTCAGCATCCCCACTGTGAAGCTTCCGATTACCTGTGTGGTTTTCTCCTGCTCAACAACAAAGCTCTGGTTGTCTGTACCACAGTTGTCTCCCCCATCATCTATTAAGAGAACATGTAAGCGAGTCTCACTGATGCAGGGGAGAAGAGGTTTGACAGAATTCATACGTCGACATTTACTGAATGAAGGTGTACAGCCACACCTAATCAATTATAAATGCATGAGGAGCATTTTAAGGAATGAAAAACTACATTTGATAACTGCAGGTGAGTCGTGGACTTTAATCTTCAATTCTCCAGTATAAATACAATTTAATATTAATTTTTCTTTTATTGTAAAGAAACTAAATGATCCTACTTATTTGTCTTTGCAAGGAGAAGTGTGTGGTTGAGTACTCACTGTCAGTAATGAGGGACTGGACAGCAGTTATGTGTCGACGGCCCAGCCCATGACTCCTGGACACAATGCAATTTAGATAGATGTCCCAGAAGACTTGGGCCAGGTCCCAGAACAGTGCAGTGTGTTTGCTGTTGTTTGAAGCCCTGAGTGACTCCATGAGGTCCCAGAAGGCAGGCACTGTGTCAGCAATCCTCGGAGAGCGCATCTCCAGCAGCAGAGCCGAGGACGCCTCCCAGCATTGCAGATTGCCCCGATGGGCCTTCAGGGGGTCCACCTGACCTGGCTTCTGACCTTGCAGTGGCACGGCGCACATACAGGTCAGTATGAACACTGTGGCTATGCCCATGTTATTTAGCACCAGGACCATCTGCAAAAGAGCACAGAGCAGCTTTTGTATTAGATTGGAGGTTTTGCATATTTAAAATATTAAGAGCAGTCATAAACACTTTCGCACAGCATATTTGAATATGCTACATTTGCAAGTGTTCAAGCTTTACTTTGACCATTTGTTTTTCTGGCAAATAAAAACGTACTTTTTGGGTTTATTATTCATTTTACACTCCTCGGATCTTTAAATAAATTAAAAACAAAAGAAAAAACTGGAAACCATTACAATATTGTACTTAAAGCCTTGGTATTCATCCCAGCTTTATCAATAAGTGTTGATGGGGGTTTAATAAATATGTTTGGTCTTAACTGACGCCAACGCTTCCCTCCTTTTTATGCAGTGTTAGACGAACGCTTGTCATGTTTATTGACATTTCTTAATATTAAACTTGGTTCATTTCCAGTCTTTGCTAAAGTTTTCACTATGGCTTGCATTCTTTGTCGCTTTCAAATCTTTGGCATCAGAAGAAAAACTGCAGCTGGCTCTTTTAAAATAAAAGGAATGAATAATTAAGCGAATTGTGATGACAGTCTGCTTTTAGCTCAGCTGCAGGGGAAGAGGAAGTTTAGAGAGCAGTGCAGTTGACACACTAGTGAAGTCTCACCTTTATTCAGTAGCATGCTGGAACCTGTGAGGACGAACACCTGCAGCTGTTGCATGTCATACTGAAATTTTGTTTAGAGAAAGCACGGCCTGAAAACCTGCTGTGCACAGTTTGTGATGTCCAGTGTGTTTCCTAGAAAATAAAGTCAGTAGTGCTGAAGCTTTAGATTTAGGTAGACTCATGGGCAGAGGAGTCGTTTGCTGCCAAACTATTGGAGAATGAATTTTAATTTTTGTAAAACAGCACTGACAGGACCTAACTAAGAAGTGCTTTTAATACTCAAGAAGCAGAAATCTGGTTGAGATTTTCTTTCAAAATGTATCATTGGTGCAACTAACTTTGTGTACCCCAGTACTTTTCCTCAATCGACTCATACTTTGATATGACACAAAATACTGAAAATGTTAATAACTCCTCGTTTGAGTGATCCCATACATTTTTACATAATATTCTAACTACAGTAAGCAATAAAATATAAATGTGTAGAAACAAGACTTTAAAAAAAAAAATTTACATACATTTTTTAGAAGGAATTAAATAAAGCTTTATGTTTATTAATCAATTAGCTTTAGAATAATTGTCTGTTGAGTGATATGCATGTATACGGAGTGGAAAAAAGGTTACTAAAGAAAATCCAATCTAGTTTGTGGCTTCAGTAAAGAAAAAAAAAGTTTTTTAAAAGCATTACACAAAGACAGATTAGCCGTTTTAGATATTTTTAACAATAATCATTTATCCAGAAAAACAAGTACAGAATAGCTTTAGTGAAGTATAACTTAAGGTGATACATATGATTAAAAAAAAATCCACACTTTAAATGCCACGTTCATGCCGCTTGTGATGGAGGCATTACGAGAACCTTTTTCTGTAATATTTAAGATGCGATAACTGAAACTAAAGCCTTATTAGCTCCCATTATATTTTTCCCTATTCAGTTTTAAAGATCAGCTCTCCAAATCCAAACACTAGGCCTAGAAAGGTCTTGCTCTGCCTAAAAATCCAAACCTAAAAAAATTATTGTTAAATAAAATATTGTACTTACCACTTAAAGCCTTGGTAGTCAGCCCAGCTTAAGCGTTGATGTGGGTTTGGTAAATATCAGGTTGGTCTTAAGTGACGTTAGTGCCTCCCTCCTTTGCGTGCAGCGTTAGTCTAACGCTTGTCACAATTATCAATCACCTTTTTTCTAAGCATCATTTCTGCAGATGAACAGTGGCAGTTTAATATTAAACAATTCTGAAATTATCAATTCTCTTGATCACATTCAGGGAAGTATGGGAGCTTAATTTAGAAATATTTGCTATTGTTTATTGCATAGTTACATAGTAATGTGGTTATTTGGCTGATGACTGTTGCTGTATATACAAAATGTGTAAGAACTACAAAAGGAAACTGCTGAAATGCAATTTAAAAAGGCAAGATATTATAATTCAGTGGGAGGTTATTGATGTTTAATGCGCATGTACTGTAACGGAAAGGACATTTATAATGATTCTGCACCCTGATGCTGGTTATGTGGAGACAGAAGCTACTAACTCATCATAATACTTGAGTTAACTGTCTAATGTTAGTTTTTTAAAAACCAAGCAATTTTAGTACAAGAATGTTCAGGGGAAGTTGCAGTTTACTTCCTGTCCACCTGCTGCAGACTGACCACACTTCAAAGATTTAATATATTTTGCTTACTGCACAAGTTTAGTTCAAACTAAGAAGAAAACATGAGCAACCAGATCTCAGAAACTTTGCAGCTTCTGCCAACTGTGAAAAACTTGAAGACCAGTCATCAAGAGTGGTGAACGAGTTACGTTTCTATGCTTTTACTGAAATGTCACAAGCATACCTGATCTCAAATGCAATTACTTTCACAGTGAGAAGCCAACACTAAATGTCCTGGGTGGGTTTCTTACTCATTCATCCTTTTCATGATGTAAAGAAGTAGACTTTACAACAGTTTTACTGCAAAGGCTAAATTATAACTTTTAAACAAATACCATTTTCATATTCATACAAGAAATGTATTGTTAGGATACTTCTACACAGGAAGAGATGCAGCGGAGTGAAAATCATCATCATTATGAGAAATTACGTGAATCATGAATACTTCTACAAACCGGCAGGGAACATTTGAGTGACTGCATGTTCGACATTATGGTATACACACCGGGGTCCCTCAAGGGGACGGTGTGGTCTCCCAGCAATATGGATCCAGGCACAAAAATCCCAAGATTCAGACTCTAGTTCACTCACTTTCAAATATTTCATTTCTCTAATGGAACCACAAGGAACTGCACTCAGTAAAGGATTTATTCATCAACAAGGTTTTTCCCACATTCCGGCAACTGCAAGAAAAATTTGACTTGCACAGTAATGACTTTTTCAAATACTTACAGATCGGAAGCTTTGTAGGGAGGCTTTTTCCATCTTTTCCAGATCGGCCCCCAGACTCTGCCTTAGATAACTTATTTCAGTTTGATCCACTCAAGAAAGGACTAATAACAAAAATTCACAACGCTTTGTCACAACTGGATGGAATTATCACACTTGACTATCTGAGAGAGGCCTGGCAGTGTGACCTTGGTACGAGAATTCCAGACAATCAATGGACAAAAGCCCAGGAAAATGTACACTCTTCCTCTGTTTGCATTCGTCATGGACTCTTACAGTTTAAAGTGCTACATAGACTCCATGTATCAAAGTTGAAACTGTCAAAAATGTTCCCCAATGTAAACTCGTCCTGCGAAAGATGTAAACAGCAACCTGCTTCACTGGCGCATATGTTTTGGAATTGTTCCTGTATAGCAACATATTGGAATAATGTCTTTCATATCTTGTCTAAAATTCTTTTTAAAAAAACTTAAGCCAGACCCAATCTGTGCTTTATTTGGAGTGAAGCCGGTTGTTGTAGACCTATCAGCCACCCAAAATAATGTGATACGTTTTGTGATGCTGCTGGCACGCCGTTTGATTCTACTAAATTGGAAACAAAAGGTGCCTCCTACCACATCAGCGTTAACACAAGATGTATTGAGACACTTGCAGCTGGAAAGAATTAAACTCCTACTAAAGGGGAGGTTGGAGGAATTCCATTCAACCTGGCAACCTTTTATAGATCTCTTCAATACTGTACAGATATAAATGATCACTGAGCCTCATTGGTAGTTCGATAAATAGCATCCTCTGTCCAACGTTCTTTTGTTGTTGTTTTTTTTTGTTTTGTTTTTACTTTAATTCTTATTGTATATATGTAATCATTTATATTTGAATCTTAGTTGCCTTTATGATAAAGAACACTGGAAAACCAAATAAAGAGATTTGAGAGAAAGAAAAAAAATACACTTTATGGTTGATGACAGGCTCATGTTACAGTAGGTCTGCATTGTTTTGTATTAATCACTTTTGTCACTTGAGTTTCCTGTCAAAGTCCTTCCCAGATTAATAAAAAACAGATTCACGTCTACCTGAGCTTGACGCATGACAAACAGACGACGATGATGAACAAAGGGACCCTAACACAAACATACGCAGGCTGTAATGAGGGAATGTGCAACAGGAGGGAAACACAGCTGGACCTAATTTGACATAACAAGATAGGGAGGAAACAAACTGAATGCACTAATGCAGGACTATCAAAATAAAACAGGGAGCAAGACAAATACTGAGACGAGGACGAAGAAAAAACGTGCAACACAGCGAAAGCACAGTGACAGAAAGCTAAAGCCTAGAATCTATAAATATAATACAAGTCCACACAATACGAGAACCAAAACCATGAATGACACAAAATCAAGGAATGTTAGAAAAATCTCAAAACACATGAACACTAGTTCACGGATCCAGTGCCATGACAGTGACAGCATGGGGCAGAATGGAGTTTCTTTGCATTGGTGTTAGTTATTGACCCCATAGTCCCCCCCCCCGCATTTCAAATGGTTTGTTCCACCTCCTCAAAGTTGCTCTTAAATAACACCAATCACACAATCAGGAGCTGCTAGCAGTTCATTGAGGATTTAAAACAGGGGTCCCCAATCCCAGTCCATGAGGGCCGGTGTCCCTGCAGGTTTTAGATCTCACCCTGGGTCAACACACCCGAATCACATGATTAGTTCATTACTAGGCCTCTGGAGAACTTCAAGACATGTTTAGAAGGTAATTTATCCATTCAAATCAGCTGTGATGGATCAAGGACACATCTAAAACCTGCAGGGACACACCGGCCCTCGTGGACTGGGATTGGGGACCCCTGATTTAAAAGAAAAGAAGACAAACGCTTGGATAAAATTTGTCCGTAGTTTATTAATCAGTCCAACTGTACATAATGCAGTGAGAGAGGGACACCAGACAATGATTAACATGGAGGATTACAACGATGCCAGTGCTATGGCAGCACCTGGAATACACCGACAATCAGCTGGACTGGAAATGATAGCCCTGCACAAGGAAACTGTTCAGGCCTCGATATGTACAGGCACCATACAGAGTGTGTGTGTGTGTGTATAAGTGTGTGTGTGTGTGTGATTAAAAATATCTGTCTGGATGAAAAACACACAAAAATGATTTTCAGTTCCACAAATGTAAAAGGGTGCTCTCTCTCTTATCCTCTGAAATACTAATTCAGTTATTTTGATGATTTCTTTACTTGTCCATCCACAGTTTGAGTACACTGAAGCGAAATGAAAGGAGACATAGGAGTGGGCAAATACAAAAGATTAGCTGATTAGCAGAGGTTGTTTTTTTTTTTTCCTTTTGTAAAACCATGTCTACACCGATATCACTATTACCCATACTTTTGTGCAATATCTTTCTTTGCATAGTAAATAAAAGTTAAATGTTTTTTATTGTTGACATGCACCTATCTTTTGTAGCATATTTTCCTTGCAGATTTTGGGGACTCCCATATAGAATTATAAGCCCACTATAGTGATTTGCATGCAGCATTACCTGTAGAGCTGAACTTGATTTCCACTAAGAGTTTATGAGAGCAAAAAGGCTTAAGCCAGTATAGTGGGTGTTGATGAGGACTGTTAAGTGAGACCTGGCCGGACACGTGAGCGCCTGCATGGACAGACTTCATGCCCTCAGCATGAGAGGCACCACTGGCTGCAGACAGAGGGGAAAGTGCTCCGTGTGCAACAACATCTACATGTTCGGGTGATTGGTTCTTTGGCTTTTGAGTCAGTGTTGAAGATACTTCAAAAACAGGGGGCTAAATCGGATCACAGTCTGAATCTCTCCGGAAATGACGCGCTTCTCCTCGACACCACAGCTTTCTCTCTCTGTCCTCAAATCTGACTTTAGATTTTCTTCTCTAACCATTTTGGCCCAAATCCTAGTCTCAGTTTGTTTGTTTTTTATTTTAATAACATTACCAAAAACACCCGCTATACAAGATGTTAAGATAAAAAACAAAAGCATTTGATGTCCTTGGAAAATATGCTGTCAATTCCAACCCTGAACTCCTTAAATATGTACAGTGGTGTGTGCATGTGTGTGTGTGCGCATTCACTACATGGCCTGCATTGCCCTTATAGGTCCTCACATGAAGTTCTGCTTAAACAGGAGCTTCAACAGGCTTGTCACTGGGTTTGGTTTTTAATGAGGCTCTCTCCTGCGCTTTTTTTCTCCTCTTTCTGTGTTTTCTTTTTTCTTCTTTTTTATTTTTGCAGTATATTCATAGCTTTGGTAGCCATGCAGAGCCCCGCAGAGAGGGCTCTTCATGCCGGGCGCGGGCGGGTTGGGTGGGGGTCGGGCGGGCCAGCAAGCAGCAGGTTTTGTTTCGATTTTATTCATGCCAGGTGAGAGAGTGGTGTGGATTCCGCCTGAACGCCTGTGCACTGGCACTAAAGGATGGAAAGAGGAGCTCTGTCACTCTGGAGATCAGGGTGGAGGGGCGTGGGTGAGGTGTAGTTGAAAAAGGCTGCATTTATAATGTCACTACGATGGAAATTTGTTAAAATGTCCACTATGTCTTTTTCAAGTAAATCTAATGCCAAAGAATCAGCAGCAGTAAGTGCAGTCCAGCTGTCAGGTAGCCAACTAAGGAAGCCTTGGAGCAGTCCCTGTGTGATTGCCATCTTCTCCTTGGGTTAAATGGCTGTGGCATTGGGGTCATACCGCCGTTTCTTCACATTTCTTGATGAGGAGATAAGAAAAAGAAGTCAGCATCTGCTATAATTATATATGCAACGGAGCTAGTGCAACCTGGACAAGCAACCACGCTCTCTTAAGGAAATGCTGTTAGTTGCAGTTTATTATGTAAGGCTGTGAGCAAAATCCCATACTTACGTACTTTTTAGTAGTAGTAGTAGTAGTACGTGAGGATTGTTTGGTATAACACATTCTCAGTATGTATCCAATAGCATGCGAGGTACATACTATTTTGGGTAAGCGGGACAGTGAGCTGAAATCTAACATTGATAACTCTTGAACTTGAGTGTTTAAATACATGCTTTCACTCTGCTGTTAATAAAATTTCAGCAAAGGCACTGGAATGTATCCTAAGGCTTAAATCCTACTGTTTAAGTGATACATAGTATGGGATTTTAGACACAGTGTAAGTGTGCCTGATGAAAATGTTCCAAATGTGCACTTTTTGAGGGCTTCAGGATCAAACGCCGAGGACACTGGAGTGAGGACAGGCTGGTCCATGTTGGCCCGCTCAGCCTTGACTGCAAAGAGACAGTCAGAGGTATTTACAGTCACAAACCTGAGGTCTACAGTGTCAGCGATGAGAAAACATCACATCTGCTTTACAGTTTTTGTAGTACTGGCCAGATCTGAAATAAATAAATATGTTTAATTTTTGAAATCAAAGAACAATCAAGTCTAAGCCATATTACATAATTTTTAAGGTGTTACGAATATAAATATACTCTGTTGCCTTCTTGCAGATGTGCTGATCGGCTCCTTCGTGCAACATCAGTTTACAAGGTGAAGTGTAGGAGACACGTGTCATTACCGGTATTGATGGGAAACACATTAGTTCCACTCAAAACAACCATCTGGGAGGAAAGAGCTAACATAACGTGTACTCTACAGCGGAGAGGAGGAAAGAGGAGACGAGCACAGAAATAACGATCACAGCGGCGGCAGCAGCAACAGTAACTACTACCACAACAGTGGGACAACAATGAGTACAACAACAGGAGTGATGCATAACCTCCCCGTACTGTGGCTTGCTGTGGGGCTTCTATCACTCTGTCATGCACCTGTTCCAATAGTCGGCCAGTTGAAGGTGGCACTATTGCTGTGCGTGGTTCATGCAGTGCAATGCGCCGTGTCTGTACCGGGTCTGCGAAGCAGGCAGCAATGGCAGCTGGTGTGGGCGGGTCCGAGAGTCCTGCTCTGCTCTATGGCGGAGCTCAGCCATCCAGGTGGGTGTGGCCAGCCATGGCACAAAGGCTGCAGACAACAAAAAGGTCCTGGCTTCTCTCTCTCTCTGTGTCTGTGTGTGTTGTTCTCATAACTCCATTTAAAGCCTCGGCCTCAAAGAGCGACGGAGTGAGAAAAAAACATCATGGAAGTGATGAGAGCACGACAACCCTCGGACCAAATTGCTCAGGGTTTGTCTCAGCCTTTGTGCAATGAACTGACCTCCTCCAAATCAACAAGTCAACATGCAGAAATGTTTGGTTTCTTATTCTATTTTCTTTCTCTTTTTTTGTTTTTTTGCTGTTTTAGTGACAACCATGATGCTATCTGGCATGCTTTAGTGGCTGTAGGACCATATTTATTATTTAGTCCTTAGGTCTGTTTAGATTAGGATGCGTAACACCCCTGTTGCTCAAGACAGCAGGCTAATCAGCGGTGGGTAGATTTCCTAGCCATAGAGTGACACTGAATGGTCTAGTTTAAGATTTTAAAGGGGAGTAATTTCTGTAATACAAGTACAAACAAACTTTTTTAACCACTTAGCTGTTATAAAGTATTCTGTCCCCTCTGTACTTTACTATGAAATGCATGTCAAACATTGAACTCTGCCCGTCTAATCAGTTTGAGGTTCTGCTACAGATGCACAGACACCCCCAGCGTTTCCCAAAGTCAAATTTACTCATACAGTATCAAACACCTGAACGCCTTCCACACCCATATGTGTTCTGCATGTCTCCTCGTCAGTGTGAGCCTAAGTGTAGTAAGTGTAACATGTCCACCCCGGGATGCTGTATTCTGTAGCAGGAGCTCAAACCCTGGTGTCTAGAAGCAGCAGGGATGCTAGAGTTAGAGCAGGAGAGGCATGCGGCGTGTTGCTTACTTAAAGCCCCATCCAGTCCCCCCCAGCACTATGGCAGCCACAAGGATGGCTCCGGCGATGGAGCCTATTATTAGATTGGTGGCACTAGGACCTGTAAAGGGTTATGGGGAAAAAGACATGAGTTCCTATACTCATTTACTGTATTAATAACATTTAGCTATACAATGATGATTTCACATGGAACAGAAAACATACCATAAGTATACTATTACAATAAAATGACTGAGTTTGAGAATGCATTTTTTTGCATGCTTTTCAACCCCCTTTTAGTGTTATAAAGAGAATGTAATCAAGCAAACGCCCTGGAAATATTTAAGTTTATCTGGTGTCAGTTGAGGTAGCGATTATCAGTGGTTTGTCTGTTAAGGTTGTGTAGACCCTGGGCATCCATCACTGTAAAGGTTTACAGGTGACATGTAGGTGTGATCTGCAGTGTGAGCAGTACAAAATGTTTTTAGGGGTCCCAGTCACCACACAGCCTACCACTGACTGACAAGCCAGGTCACTAACTGGACACTTCTCAGGACTGTTTTCATCTAAATGCCCCACATGCCCCAGAAAGGAGAGGATCACAGGAGCAACCACATAACGACTAAGAATAAGAGAAAGGAGAGGAAGTAGGGAGGGAAGAGGGAGGATGAAGAAAGAGGCTTGTAGTAATGGGGAACGACAGGAAGTGACAGGAGAAGGAGAGGAAGGAGGGAGGGAGGGAGGGGAGATCCATCAATCAATCACACGACACTGAAAACATCCAATCACATGACAATTATATGGTCATCACCAACACACAAGAAAACACAAAGCCACCGGGACGCACACACGGGCTCAGGCCGGCTCACGAGACCGCCCGCACACTGAGGCACCACTATGAGAGGAAGAGCTGTGAAAGGGTTAAAGATGCTTACTCTATTCCCCACCCTGTGCCTCCAAAAATCACCCCCAGGGCCAGAATGGTCCCTGCTACTGCCCCTATCAGCCTGTTAGTGGCCACGCTCACTGTGCAGAGGGGAAAAGGAGCATTATTACCACCCTGTCAAAAACAAATAGCAGGCTTCTGCTTCAGAGTCATGGATGAAGTGACCACTGCCCCGTAAGCCCCTCCCCCTGTGGTCAAAGCATCATCTTCAGAATCAGAGCAAACAAATCTTACACTGCTTTTACATTCTCCTACAATCAAAGCCTTTATGTTCCCCAGTAGACCTGTGAAACTCAGGAATGTGCGACTGACTCAGATCTAGCAGTGCGTCTGAGAGCGACACTGTAATAACATTTACATTAAACATACGATCAATGTGAATCTGGGCTAAATTAAAAAAGGGTGGATATATTCATTTTTGGATGGCGGATGGCGGGAGTAGAAAGGTTGGAAACCGACCCTTGGGTTCTTCTTCTGGAGTGACATCGGGCTCTTTAGGCGGGTCAGGCATGCTACAGTCTGTCCCGGCCCAGGTGGTGTCACAGGTGCATGTGGCTTCATTGTTGCATACCTGTGCACAGCAGACATACAGAGGTAAACAGAATGAAAGATGGAGTTTTTTTTAAATTCCCCTCAAGGAACTTTTTCTCTTCCATTTTTCCCCCAACATTATACAAAAAAATCTGGCATAGGTTTTGACGTATGATAGAAAAAAACACAATAGCTATGTTTTATTCAGCTCCAGTAATCCAAGCTGGTGTGAGCATCACAGAAAAGCATCACAGCGAGAAAAGTGCAGGATGGTGTAAAAAATGTATTTAATTTAGGCAAGCTGGTTTTCGGCTGACTGGCTTACTGGGACTCTTGAAGAAAATCAATCAACCGACGTGTAATTTCCCAGGCAGCTATAGCCCCCTGAGGAGAACTCGCTTGGGAAAAAAACTTCTTTAAGAAACATCTTAAGCTTCATTTATAGTGCTGAACTAAATCCCTGAAGAACCTAACGCTGCAGTTAGTTAACGCTTTGCATTTATACTTGTGCACTGGTGTGTCTGCGTTACTTCATCGTCTCAAGTGAAACTCATCCAATCATGTTGGACTCTAAGATAATAAATACTGAACAATGGCTACATGGAACATTTTGAATTTGGAAAAATAGTAACTACTGCATTAGTAATTAATAGCAAAATGCTATTATTGGAATCATAATCACATATTGTAACCATAGGAAGTTACATTTCTGGGAAGATGCACGTCTCAATGCAGTATAGAGCAAATCAAGCTATTATTATTGTTTTGTGTCTGTGTGTTTATTTTATCATCAAAATAATATTTTCAAAAACAATTTGAGTTGCATTTAATTCAGGAAATATAAAGCATTGTATTTCCTGCAGAAAAGATTACGATTTTTGATTATTATGTATTTACATATTTTTAATTGTGGCAATTTCTACCACATCAGCTGAGAAATGATGCTGCACATGCCGGGCCACTCAGAAAGGAAGCACATTTAGAGTTTGAAACGACAGCTGGGATAGACTCGAGTACAACCCTGAATGACCCTGAATTGCATAAGCTGTTAAGAAAATGGATAGATGGATGAAGAGAAGTATTTTATTTATTTTTATTTAAATACATATTATTTAAATATTCTGCAACTTCTTCTTAAAAAAATCTAAATAAAGCAAGTTTGGCTTACTGGTATAAGAGGTATTTGACATTTCCATAAAAGGGTAGAGGTTTTCCCCAGTTTCCAGTTTGTGTTGACACCTGAATAAAGGATTGCCAGTTGCATATTTCCCTTAAGCTTGAGGCTTTTGTTTGACTTTTTCTACTGAGAAAAAGAAAATCAACAACCCTGGGCATCTGAAATGCAATGAGCCTCCTTACTTCTCCTCATCCCTCCAGAGTGAGATTTAATAAACAAAGAGCAAATACTGGTGTTTGCTGAACAGAAACTCTAAGTTAGAGCATAAACAGCCTTTATCCATGACTCAGTAAGCACCCTTTTCATCAAAGGTGTTGGAAACGTTCTGCAGCCCTTACAAACAAATACTACACGCAGTCCATGCTTGCTAATCTTCTAAAAATGAGTGAACACCCTCTCAATTTGCCAGTGAGCAAAGAGTAGGTGTAGGTAAGTGCGTACAAATACTCACCCCATGGCCCGAGCACACATGTCCGTTAGGTCCAATGGGGCAGGTGCTCATGTTAAGTGACTGGATGGGCAGACACTTGCGGTCAAGGCACATCATTGACGGCCCACAGGGAGTCCCATCCTCCACGTAGCCTAAATCAGTTTCATCATCCAAAAGGACGTGGGCACCCCTGAGGAGAAGGATGGAGTAGAGGTGAGGAGTGTTGAAGTCTCCCAAAAAATAAAGCTACAGAAGAAACACTGCCTGTAGGCACCCATTTTAGAAAGAAATAGAAAAACTTCTAGTAACAGCTTGCGTTTTATGAGAAAATGGCCCATTGCGACACAAAAAATCCCCCAAATTTACTACAGAGTTTTTCTATTTATTTCCCACATGGGTAAAGAGCCCCCAGGCCCCAGGCATTATATTAAAGTAAATGTGTTTACGTGCACTGTATGACGTTCCCTTGGTGGTTGAAGGAGGTGGGGGTACTGTCTCCTTTCATGCTTCCAATGCGAGGGACACGCCCGACATTGGTACACAAAAGGAAACCACAGAACACGTCACTGTAAAAGAGAGAGATAAGCAACCAAAAATGTGTACAAAATGTCTAACAATGTAATGTTCACCTCTGCACCACCAATTACCAAAATGCACCAAAAAGCTCTATTAGTTTGGTTCAAAGCGACATCTGTAAAGATCTGAAACCTCGTACTGATAACTTTCATTTGATCTGTTACAGTCAATGTTTGGTCTTTAATATTAAGTGCAATTTTAAAGTCACACTGCTTACCTTTAAACATGTTTTACAAATACACTGCCTGGCCAAAAAGAAGTCGCCACCTGGATTTAACTAAGCTATTAAGTATAAGCCTTTCATTGGATAATTACTGCAGTGATTACTTAATGCAGCTGGCAACATGTCATTTAATTAACCCTAACTGATGCAGTGAACAAACAACCACATCACAAAACATTTCCCGTGATTGTGGAAAAGATTTTCGTTTGTTTCAGAAGGTTATTGGTCTGTTCTACTGTCACCTTTATATTGTTAGAGACCCCACAGAACTACAGAGAAACCCCAACAATGAGACAACACCCTATGAGCAAGCACTTGGTGACAGTTGGAAGGAAAAAATCCCTTTTAACGGGAAGAAACCTCCAGTAGAAACCACAAGTAGGCCCACAAGAATGCGTGGGCGACTTGGATCCATGCCATGGGTGTGAGGGGAAAGTGAGAGCAGAGGGAGTTAGGACAAAAGGCACACTATGGGAGAGCTAGAATTTAAAATGAATTACTAATAATTAAATGCAATATCCTTCTATAAACACATGGAAACTGAAAAAGAAAGTGAGTGAAGGACATGGGACTCTCCCAGCAGTCTAAGATTACTGCAGCATACCCAAGGAATGGTTCAGAATCACCTGATCCAGCCTTAACTATACGCAAAAAGGAAAGTTTTAAGCCTTCTGTTATCTCCAGCAAAGAAAAACTAAAACAAAAAAAGAAATGTCATTGTGTAAAACCTGGAAGGAGGAACGAGGTCATAAAAAGAGGTGGATGAAATGATGGACCCATCATGCCGAGCGCCTAGTGTACAAGCCTGCAGAGGCAATTTTACAATCTCCGGCTGCTTCAGTTGGTTCTACAGTGTCATGTGGCCTAAAATAAGGTCAGCTGACTACCTGAATATACTGAATAACCGGGTTTTTCCATAGTGGATGTTTTTCTTCCCTGATAGCACATTCATGTTCCAAGATAGCAATGCTACGATTTATCACGCTCGGACTATGAATAAATGGTTCAAGGAGCATGAGACATCATTTTCACATGTGGGTTGGCCAACCCAGACTTAACTGACTTTAACTGTTATTGGGAATATTGCCTTATTAGGAATGTGCCGGAGAAGACGTTCTGATTCCGCCGACATCAGTCTTGTTAAAAAATGAATGCCACTCTGGACGAGAATACATATTGTGAAACTGCATGAGCTTTTTGAAACGATGCCACTGCAAATGCGTGCTGTCATCGAAGCTAAAGGCAGTCCAGTTAAATATTTCAGGCTTCAGCTTTTTTTGGCTGGGCAGTGTAAACTGACTTGACTTTTACCACCACATCCCAGTTAAAGAGAAAAGCCAGGAAGACTGAAGACATGTGTGCTGAGGTGGTTTCCCTGGAATCTGTTTTTAGTAATTGATCTGATTGGTAAAAATACATTCCTGGCATTTGATGGCAATTATCCATTTTAAACAGGGTCCTTTGGCGCCCTCTGTTGGATGGCTGTAAAACAACAACAACTGAGAAACCTGATGCTGAAATTCCACATAACAGGATTAACTTGTACAATATATCTTTGGAATACCACAACAAAAATTTGGGGATCCTAAAGGATCTTGACAGTAAAACTTTCTCACCTATGCACAGCTGGCTGCTTGGTGCACAAAATGGGTGTAAATGTTGGCCGATCAGTTTAGAAAAGTTCAAAATATGCTTTCAGGCACTTTATTATTCAATGAATGTGCGACAGTGTTATTATTTTGTGCTCACTGTTTGCTACACTGGATCCATTTTTCTCCATCTTTTCCACAGTTGCCCTTCTCTGTCCCCTCCGTGTTCAGCTTCTCATAGCAGAACTTCTCCGAGCCTCCAGCCTCTAAAACAAAAAGAGGGGCGATGAGCTGCACGCTGCCTCTCCTTGTGCAGAACCCGTGCTCAAATTAACCCGAGAAGCATTAAACCTTACTTGATCCCCAGATGTATTTACACTGGTTCTCTCTGGTCTTACACTCTCCACTGTAACAGCGACCCTTTAGATAGAGATTAATAAAAAATCAGAAAACTTTGAGCACACGTTGGCATTTATATTTTTGTAAATACCCATTTCTTACCTGGTTTACCTGGCAGATGTAACCATCTTGTTTATGAAGGTTTGGCGGGCACTGTAAAAATCACAAAGAGAACAACCTTTCTTTTTTAACAGCCAAATTTGTGTTCAACGTGCAAAAAAAATGAACTAATTAAAGCTATTTAAAGCTAAATAAACCATAAGCTCAACCTGTCCCGAGTCCCCAGAGCAGGTCTCTGAGATGTCACAGTCGTTCACAGCATAGCGGCAGCTGTAACCTCGTGGGTAGAACTGGCAAGAAAAGGAGAATAAAACAGCGTTGGATTTCAGAAATCAACTACTAGTTTTTCAGAGCTTTAAAAAGAAAGAACCAAGCTTGTACCAAGCATGTTTTATTGCAGCATGGTCCATCGCTGCAGTGTGCCCCATTGGCGAGGGAGCACTTCTTGCAGCATTCCTTTTGGCAGTCCTGAAAACAAAGGGAAACGAGCTTCAAGCATCTGAACAAAGAGAAGATGACAAATGGGCGTGCGTGACGTGGTGAAGTAAAAAGACCCTCACTGTTCTCAGTCCGCAGTCGCACTCCTCTCCCAGTTCTACAAATCCATTCCCACAATTTGCTGCCTCGAACAGCTGTCAGGAGAGGACAAGACGGTGTAAAAGGAGCACGTGTGCGTAAAAGTTTGACATGTTGAGAGAAGGGGCGACTAACCTTGGTTGGCCTGTTGAACAAACAAGAACCTCCACCTTTCAGGAGGAACTCCTTGTAGTCTGAGATGCTGCATTTGGAGAATTTTTGTGGGTGTTGGACTCTGCAGAGAGAAGACAATGATATTTATAAGTTTGTCCAACCAAACAGGATACAGTCAAAAAAATATGCCTAAAATGTTGACTTCAAGTAATCTGAATGCATGCAAATTTCCCAAAAGTCAATTTTCATTAGATATCTCAAAATTTCAGCTTACTGACTAAAACGTATCACTAAGTTTAAAATCTTGAAATAATAACCTGAAATTTTGACCAATGGAAGTGTGTTTATGTTCTCAGTTGCAAGTTTCAAGTTAAATTGAATACAACATGATTTAAATTGTGGTGTCAAATAGAGGCGTGTAGAATGATAAAGCTGGGTATGCTTCTGGTCACTGACAAGTCACTATCGTAACAGCATGCTTTGTCCCTCAGTTTTTGAGTCAGAGCCACTTTTGCTCATCCTGTCCAGTTTCAAAACAACAAGATGGTGACGGCAAAATCCTCTCTAGGAACATAACTAACCAATGGGGGACACCCTGGTGACTACAGCTACCTTTTATATACCCAATCCTACTTTAGCTAAAAGAGTTGCTTATTATTCACAAAACAGCATGCCAAAATTACAGTAGGTGCAACTTATTCATTTTCTTACTTGTGTACTGACTGACTAGGTGGTTAAAAACTGTGTAACTGTATTAAACAGTCGCTCAGAGTTAGTTAATAACAAGCAACAAGGAAAAAAGCTGAACGAGTACTGATTACTACATTACTGAGTGCACACAAACGAGCATTTGTAATTGCTCCGCCATGTGAATGAATGACTGTGTATGCGTGTTTCTCGGGGGTATGTTGGATCTTACCCAGTATCCTCCATTATGCAGCCAGCCCACTGGCTAGTACAGCCGCATTCCTCTGCAAAACAGGGCAGAAAGTGTAGAAACACCAGAGAAAGAGGAACGGACAGAGTAAGAAAAGATAGCATCCACAACTTTCATTTTAAATAAAGACTTAGAGTAGACAAAGTAAGCATGTTAGCATAATTATTTTTTTTTTTTGTAATTTCAAAGAAAAGCAGTCTTAATCCGTGGATTTAACTCCTGATATCCAGCTTTCTGCTGAATAATGAAGAATCCTTTCACTTTATTTTACACTGACATTCTCCTTGGCAGCTTTGGGGCCACAAATAGACTTTTGCTGATGGTTAGCATTTTTTCCAGCTTGTAGTTTCTAACCTGGCAGCTGCCTCATTAAGCATGGCGATCTCAAATCTGATGGCATAAATTCTTTCTCAAACGGACATTTTCTGGTCTACTTTTCTCAAATACAGTCAGTCCACCGACGGTGACTTCTGGCAACAGGGTTGCAAAGAGACTTTTTGTTTTAGAGGAGGCCTGTGAATGACATCTAAAATATCAGTCAAGACTTTCAAAAAAATGCATTGTATCCTGTATTTAAACAGTTAAATGCCAATAGTAACAGAATAGTGAAATGTGAAAGTTCACTTAACACAAAACACTTCCTTCTTAGAGCTAAAGAGTTGAGAGCAGAAGTATTTGTGGTGCTCAAAGTACTAAAAATACAATTTCGAGAAAGAAAAACACCTACATTTCTGCTACTTCTCCAATTTCCAGATGTGAGGTTACATCCAGTTAGCAGTCTTAAATAAAGTGCATTTAAACACCTGCCTTCAAAACATTTTCTCTACTTTACAAACAACTTTAGCCGTGCAGCAAAAGCATTTCAGTTTTGTGTGTATGTCTGTTTTAAGAGTGAAAAATGTTCCCATCCTGACCTTAATTCAAGCAAAGCTGGATAATGTTAGAGAGGCATCTGAAACCAGTGTAGGGATCACAGGGTCTTCAATAAAACACCAAATGTATCATAACTGACAGGTGCATTTTTGAGACCGCTACATAAAAACTGTTATTTACTATGTGCCATGAACTTTGTGACTTTAGCCTGCCATGCCTATCGTGCTTATAGCAGCTGTGTGTTAAGAAAAAGTGTTTCATGTTTACTTCTCTTGGATGCCGGATCCCACTGGATGCCCAGGTTCTGTGCCAGGCTCTGGGAAAGAGACACTACCATGGACGAGGTGGTGGCGTACTGTTGGCACAACAGTGACAACATATTATTCACCGCATAATCACACTGCGATACGTCCACAGAGCAATGCTGGATGTGTGACAGTAAATCTGACCTCATTGACGCCTACTCCATGGCTCACAGAACACATGCCTCCAAAGTACGCAGTGCTGCTTCTGCGGTAGTGGAAGGTGGCGTTTCTGCAAGAATGATGGAGATGAAGAATAAGACGGAAGATATAAATAGCACAAAGCAGGTAAGAACACAGCAGTGCTGCTTTAGTTACAGGCAGGCAAACAAAGCGTACTTCCATCAGAGCAAAACCAGAGACCACCCCAAACGATCTGTTCAGCCCCCGAAGGGTGAACTTACGAGAGTAGCTGCACAGAATCGGCATGGTGCTTGATGCTTTGCTGGCGGTACTTGGAGAAATCACGCAGCAGTTCCAGCGGCTTCACACTTATGGGGATGTGATCCCTGTCTGTCCAAATCTCCACAGCAACAAGCACCACACGTGTATGGAGTTGCTCTTTGAAGATCTGCCGTCGGAAGCAATGAATGGAAGCAGTAAAGGAAAAAAAACACAACAAAACGTGTGAGATAGAGGCAGAGAGCGACAGCAAAGGAAGCGGAGGACGGATGTAGAATAATGGGAGCGGGGAGGAATACAGGGGAGTGTTTACACACATACAAAGAACACAGACAGACAAGGATAACACTGATGTTTAGCCATGATGTTTGCCTGTTATTTTTGGAGTTTTGAATTCTTAGTTATCTATCTGAGTTTGGGTGTCTGTTTTGCTTTCTCTGTTATTCTAGTGTTTGAAGTTTTGATTCTTATCTGTGGCATGATGAGTTTTGGATTCCTGATTTGATCCTTTGCAGTATTACTGAAGATATGTTTTTTACGCTTAGATAAAATGAAAACAGAAGCCTGTTCTAGTCAAATGTGTACTTTTTTTATGCTTCCTTGTATTCCAGTTGCTGTCTTGAGGTATTGTAGCTCAAGACTAACCAGAGTGAGTTTCTTGTCTGTGTTTAGTATTTATCTTTTGAGTTATTTCCTGTTTTACTCTGTCAGTTGTCTCTTGTGTCTTGCTTTGACTTTTACTTCCTCCCCTGTGATTATCTTGTACCTTCACCCATGTTTCATTTCTCTCCTGCTCCCAGTTTGGCCTCAGGTTGTTTATATACACTCACTACAAACTGCATTTAAATGTTTAATTCTCCGGGCATAGATTCAACTAGATGCTGGATTCCTCAGCAAATCTGGTCCATATTGATGTGACAGCCTCCCTCAGTTGTTGCAGATTTGTCAGCTGCACAATAATGATGTGACTCTTCCATTGCATCCCAAACGTGCCAAAGTTTTAGCAGCACTGTCACTTAAATAACCCGTTTCCCCATTCTGACAGTCAATGTAAGTTTCCGCAGGTCATCTTGACACCTCTACATGCCTCCATACACCGAGTTGCTGCCATGTAATTGGCCAATTCAATGGTTGGGTTAATGAGCAGCTATTGAACAGCTGTACCTAACAAAGTGTCTAGTGACTGTATACTGCCTTTCTTCCAATTAGTCTTTGTCTTCCCTGGATGTGTGCTTGCTGTTTACCCCGGTTCTCTGTGGTTTCCTTGTTTTAGTTATTGATCTACGACGTCAACAAAATAAAAGGTTTGCTTTGCATTATTTTGTCTGCCTGGAGTTGTGCATTTTAGTCCTGTGACGGTCCTGTGACAAGGTTTACCATTGTAGTTTAAGCATCAAATGCAAATTAGACACGAAGGTGAATGAAATGTTAAACATTTTGCAGATAGTGAGCACTGAACAAAATCAAATCTTATCCAGCTTGTGATGCCAGAGAAGTCATGTGCTAGACCGCAGGTGTCGAACTCCAGACCTCGAGGGCCGGTGCCCTGCAGGTTTCAGATGTGCCGTTGATCCAACACAGCTGATTTAAATGTCTAAATTACCTCCTCAACATGTCTGGAAGTTCTCCAGAGGCCTGGTAATGAACTAGTCATGTGATTCAGTTGTGTTGACCCAGGGTGAGATCTAAAACCTGCAGGACACCGGCCCTTGAGGCCTGGAGTTCGACACCCCTGGGCTAGACTGTCAGTATGTTGGTGCTGATTTGGTGATAATAGTAGCTGAGTGAAGTTAGACCTGCTGATGGCAAAACATTAAAAGTCAACTGTTATTAAGTACAGTAGGAGACGTTGCCGGACTTCTAGTAGGTCTTCTACAGATGATATTCTAAAAGAGGTTTCCAAAAAAAGCACACACTCCAGTTTGCTCAAAGGATAAGTAAAAAGCTTACTCACACTATCCACAAGATTAACTACTGACTTGGCAAAGTTCCTCGTGTGCTGCTTGTTCCTGTGTCGTTTAAACTGCAAACAGAAAGGGGGAGGGAAAAATAGCACACAGTGATGTACAGTGTGTAACGTTCGGTGGCGCTTGCTGCTCCCTCTTCTGGGAGGGAGTCGGCCCAGGTCTGGAATATTAAAGAGTATCCTTTTGTCCATGATAAAATACCAGCCACATAGCATCAAATGAGGAAAAAAGGAGAGATTTTTACGCACCATACTGTGGTCACTGACAATCATGACTTCTAAATACTTCATCTCCTCAAATACGCTGCGAGGCATCTGCAAAACAAAACAACAATGACCAGGCAGCTTCAAGTGTATAATTTGGAGTATCACCACAGGTCTAACCTTGTAAACGTCTGTGGGTGTTTTTATTGTAAACTGTGAAACGCAGCCGGGGTGAGTGCACTAAAGTCATTGCATTACTTCAGAGAGAGGTGAGATCAGAGACTTACTGCTCGCTTTTTCCTGCGCCTCAGCCAGGACAGTTCATCCAGCTCGGAGAAGAGCTGCTCCTCCTCTTCCTCTGCAAATAAGCACAAGGAAAGAGTGACACCTCTACAGACTCAAGTGTTTACATCCCTGTAGCCTTGTTTTGAAAGAAATCAGTTATGCATGTGACATTTTCCCAGAAATTTCCACAGCGTGTCTCAAAATTTCCTATGAAATGCAAAAAGACGAGTGAAGACAGGGAACTTGGCAAAACGGCAGCGAGGCAAGTGCTTGTGATCCAAGGAAAGTGATATACATTTGGTCCATTTGGCAACTATAACACTAAAATCCAATCCAGTTTGTTTTAAAGGTCTCTTCTGGGGTGACAGCCTATCTGGACCTTCCTGTCCTTGCTTTGTGTCTGAAGACAGGGATGATAATGTCAGGTTTAGGAAGTCACAAGAGGTGTGGTGCTGGTCAGAGGGGAAGGACTGATAAAGACAGTTATGTGAAAAGGTTAATGACAAGCATCGAAACCTTACCCTGCTCCACTGAATCATCATCCCACAAAGAAGAGGCTGCTCTTCTTAGTTTGTGAGGCCTAGCAGCTGTATCCTGTAGGAGTCAGGCAAACAAATCGGTGAAAAAAAAGGGAGGGTGACTTGTACAAGCAGGTAGAGCAAATGAAAAAAATAAGTTTAAACACATAATTTATCAAGGATTTACAAAAGTAAATGCAGGACTAAATAATTACACAAATAAAAATGTTTGGCGCTGAATGCCTGCTGCACATCTTTTCTGACGTTTAGCTGCTGTTATGTATCAGAGTGAGTACTCTTGAGTTGCTGATTTCAAGAGCACGAGGTGTTCCAGTTTTATAAAGAACAAGAGCACTTATGTTTGCATGTAAAGGGGGGGAAACTATTTTTCCCACCAGCAATGCAGTCAAATCCACTTGTAGTAGCAGGAAAAGGAACATTTCTAGCAGTGCACAAACATGTAGACTGTCAATGCTAGAAAACAGATACTGCGCAATCAAAAGCATGTCCGACAGATTATTACAACAAGAAGAAAGTGCTGGCAATCGCTAAACATCCCAGCACTCGTGATTTTTTTGGCCACAGATTCCCATTAGCACCTAAAGTTCCTCTTTCTCTATAACTATGATATAATTATGACTATTGGTCAGAGGGCCCGGTGGCACCAGTGTCCGGCAGCCTCGCCTCTGTCAGTGCGCCCCAGGGCAGCTGTGGCTACAATGTAGCTTACCATCACTAGTGTGTGAATGTGTGTGTGAATGGGTGGATGACTGAATGTAGTGTGAAGCGCTTTAGGGTCCTTAGGGACTAAGTAAAGCACTATACAAATACAGGCCATTTACCATAACAGGAAGAACTGGTGTGGGCCAGAGCCATCACTGAATAGTCATTCAGGACTAGAAAACCACCCTAACCTTAACCAGCTTTCTACTATGGCTTGACAAATAGGAATTATGATGATTAACATACAATAAAAATGCAGATTATTTGTCTTTTGCTATAGCCATATGTAAAAAAAACATAAGGTCATGTTAATCCCATGTAGGAAATGGCCGTTTCCTTTGAAAACAGGATGATCCTGGTAGGATATCCTTGCCTGAGAACAAAAAGGAGTAACAGCATAAAACATGTGTTTCCATCCAAGGCGAGGATGTTTGTTTGATCGCAGTGTGCGTGTCTGCTAAAGGAATAACTTACACTTGAATGATTCTGTTGTAAGGGCTCAATTAGATACACATGGACTCCATCGTCAAACATCCCACTGCCAGGCAGAGGGAGAATAAAAGGGAGAGACACACCAGTCAATACCGAGTCAATAGGAGCTAAGCAGCAGAGATGAGTACATCCAGAGATATTCTGAGCGCGGCGAGGATTTCACAAAAAAAAAAAAAAAATCTGATGTTCACTTACTGCAAACCGTTACAGGTAGATAAGGCTGCGTGGGAGTTATCGTTCCCTCTCACCTGGCCGTGGTAGTAACAGTGCTCACCGCCCTGAGAGAAGAAGACACAGTACTAAGGCAGCATCAGCGCTAGCATAATGCACAGAGTTGTGTGTACACCGTCGTGGCGCTGTGTAAAGCTGTCAGTGTGTTTGAATTTTCCAGCAGTCCTAAAAGGGTAACAGCTTGTGTCACAGATGTCAGTTTTGGCTTATTTGCAGCTCACTCCTGCAGGGGGGCTCAATCTATGCTTGTTAAAAGGGGAAGTTAATACACTGCAAGGTGGGTGCCGACACTGTTTGTGACTCAGCCCTCAGACCCCGGGTGAGCGCAGGACCCTGTTTCCCTCTGTCTCTCTCTTTTCCTCTCCCTCACACACACTTCACCCATCCCGTCCTGCACTGATACTGCAGAGTGCTTTCTCTCCCTCATCATGTGACCAGAGCTCCAGCAGGAGGCTGCAGGGGAGCAAAACCCTGCTGATTCAGCTACAGCATGCCCAACCCAGCTCTCTGCCTGAATCAGCAGCAGGAGAAAACAGCTCTCATTTCCATCTCACTAGCTTATATCCTCATCTATCTATCTATCTATCTATCTATCTATCTATCTATCTATCTATCTATCTATCTATCTATCTATCTATCTATCTATCTATCTATCTATCTATCTATCTATCTATCTATCTATCTATCTATCTATCTATCATCTATTTCTGTGCAAGGTCAAAGCAGCATACACATGGCCCACCACAGCAAAATAACTGAGAAATGTGTCTACTTAAACATTACCTTTGATATAACAGGTTTCTCTCCTTCATAGTGGATCTCAACATAATCTGAAGACAGCAAGTCACTGAAGAAAACAGAGACTGCAGTTAGTAACAGGAGGAGTTGCCAGGAGGAGTAAAAGGAGGTGATGCAGTGAAAAAAACATGCAGGAGTCTGTCTGTCTCGTTTTGCTTTCTCTGACTCACATATTGTGGTTTTAAACTAGTGGTGAGAGAGCAGTGCTTTGGTTGGCGTTTAAACACGAACAGTCATCACCGCCGGGCCCGCATTTGGCTGCACAAACACTCCCCTGGCATCTCAAAAGTGCAGTGGAGATGTTAAATGTTGTCTGCCCTCAGGAAAAATTACTATGCAGGTAACCTGGGGATGACTAACTAGCCCGGCAGAAGATGCACAAAATAAAACTGGATTTGATAAAAAATCTCTCAAAAGCACCCTGAGAACAGAACAGAAGCAAATTATATCATATGAAGCTACCTGCTTCTGCATCAGATTTGCCCAAATCAAACTGAACGGAAAAGCCTAATGCAATAAATTATCCTAAGGCCTCAACCTCACCTTGAACACAACAGTTCTCTCAGCAGCTCCCTGAGTCAGCGTCCCTCACACGCTCGGTCTGCTAGCTGACTTCAAGAGATCATTTCTGCCACAATGGCGCTTTTTTTTTTTCTGAGTAACCTTGCAAAACGGAAACATCCCTCCTCTCTGAACATATAGCTGTGCTGCAGCAAGAAAAAAAAAGGATGGAAATAGTGGCTCTGTATTGTGACACCAGCAGTGTGACCATTTTTTTTGAGTGATGCGTTGGAGCATGTGAACAGGAAGTGCACCATTACGAGAGGAGAGCCAAGGCGCGAGCAGTCTCTGAGAGATTCCTGAGTGAAGGGCTATTTATAGCTTGACAGATGAGAAGAGTGGGCCACACCAGAGTGTATCGGTGTTTGAACGGCTGTGTGTGCATAAGTGTGTGGTTGGCTCTCTGGCTGGCTGGTAACAAAACTGAGTGTGGAAAGGTAAAGCGCCGGAGCGTGAGCATCTTGACGTGTGTCTGTTTAAATGTTTATGCGCCACGGTTGCGCATGGAGACCATGAGGAGGGAGTTCTGCCCCAAGGTCTCTTGGTTCACAGGAGACGGAGCACCACAATGCAGCAGGAGAGGCAGCAGCACATGAAAGGCACAAAGAGGTAAAGGAGAGAGAAGGGACCAAAGAGCTGCAGGAGGTTCTCACGTCTGGCGCCAGATCAAATGTAACTCTAAAATCCTGTAGCAGCACATGACACACTCATGCTGTTCATGCAAGGCAATAATCTGCTCTGAGGCTTAATATATGGAGATGCTATTAAGTATTCAGAAAGACGGCAAAGGAAGAAAATCTCCCAGACAAAGTCGCCATTGTGGCCACTGACGATTTAACTAACGCATTTCAAAAACATCCAGATTCTTTAAAAGTAAGACTTGTATTAGTTTCTGTAAATCATCTTTTTAGTTGCTTACAATTCCAGGTACGGTAAGAGGTGAGCAGATAAAGCAGCACCCACTAGCAGGGTGCAGACCTATCTATATTTAGATCAGTGCTGCTGCAGCTACAACACTAAGCAGAATTCAAACCCCTATTCTTGCACAAAAAAAGCATCTAGTCGAGAACCTACAAGCAAACAGCTGGGAATCAAGGTCACACGTGCAGGCCTCTTCACTGCTGCTGAGATTTTCCTGTTGTACACAGCAAAATCTCCAGTGTTAAATTAACACTAGAGAGTGTCTATATGGGTCCACTCCTCTGAGTGTTAAATACAACACTGTTGAGTGTTAAATTAACACTTTTGACAGTGTTATATGTTTAAAAGTAACCTAGTCAGTTTTGAAGATTAACAAAGACTAACACTGAGCAGTGCTGATTTTCTAACACTGGAAAATAACTCAAAATGTTAGAAATATTCCAGTGTTAGAAAACCAGCACTGCTCAGTGTTAGTCTTTGTTAATCTTCAAAACTGACTAGGTTACTTTTAAACATATAACACTGTCAAAAGTGTTAATTTAACACTCAACAGTGTTGTATTTAACACTCAGAGGTGTGGACCCATATAGACACTCTCTAGTGTTAATTTAACACTGGAGATTTTCCTGTTGTACTATGTGGTGATTCCTGAACGGAGTGACAGGCTTTTCTGTCATTTGACATGATGCATGCGATACAAGAAGCGATGTATTTTTCATTTCAGCTAAACCTCACGGGAAATGTTCAACTTAAAACGAAGATAGCAGTGACAGACACTCTGAAGATATCCCAGCGCCGATATGTGATCTCCAAAACCGCAGACTGCAGAAGATTTCTGAACTTGTACATTTGGGCAATAAAATAAATACTAATTGCTCCATACTGCTGCACTGCCTACAAGTCTTTATCAGCCTTGACGTGGGCACTCACATGATACGCAAACCACTATGAAGCCAAAGCTCCAACATTTCCTTCATTATAGCTGAAGTAACAACTGTGTAAAGTAATTTCAAAGCGTGTTTACAGGATCTTAAGTTTATGGCACATCCTCTGTGATCTCAGCAAGCCACAGGCACAAGCTGAATATCCAACCACATGATAAGAAAACATAAAAGTAACTACGTCCTACAGGAATTTTTCACATGTACGCCAGGCTTCTTTATACAGGGAGTGAATCAATAGATGCAGAACACAGAGCAGCCGTCTCCATCCTCATTTTGATGCAAGCTTATTAAATCCTCATTAAATATAGAGATGTTGGTTATCCAAAATCCTTCATATAAAACTAGTCTGGCTGCTGAGCTGACGTCGCTCTTAGCACTTAGCAACCAACGTGCTGACCCACAGTTTCCCTGATTACATTATCTTCAATTGATGCTGCATTAAGCTCTGTTCTGACACATTATACATATCATTTACAAACAAGAGTCAGCTACTCGACGTGGTTCATCGCTTCGTATCATAGTCCGAGTCGACTTTCAGTTCACTGAACGTCTGCTCTGTGCTGTCATGATAGAAATACAAGTGTAGTGCACTTATGCATGTTCTCTTTGAGTCCTACACTGGTCTTTATATTTTGTATCTTTCTGATGACAACAATTTCATTATATTTATCATTATTATGGTACACCAAAATCTGCAACAAGCAGATTTATATTTAAATTAGTAAAGGATTTAAAACAGGAAATAAGAGTTATCTTAATTGTATTCTATACAGCACCACGTATTATAGCGTGAAGACTGTCTATGATAGGCTATATGGATGCTGGTCACAAGGCCAGCATGATACAAGATACTGAAATTCTATTGTTTTCATCTATTTAGTCATTTTTGTTGAGATGACTTTGAGAACAAATACTCTTTTACATGTTCTTATCATCTGGTGTCATTTCCCATAAAGGGCTGTGATGCGTCTTTGTCTCATGCTTGATTAGTACTCAGTCAGTCTGGTGGTGAGATTTTGGGGAAAAAACAAGGACAGGGAGATAAACAAAATCCTTACACATCTCTGAGTTTCACAGAAAAAAAAGCCCACAATCAATAACACTAACCAATTTAAGTGAAATAAATTGCTGTGGTTAAATTAGATTAGGAGAACTTACTTGTTAAGAGACAGATCTAGAACAAATCTGGAGCCAAATGCCTCTAACTGGAAACTAACTTGGGCTAGGTGGACTGCCTGTAGAAGAGAAAAAAGAGTAGTCAGTGCAGATAATGGTAGCTTGCAAAACAAATAAGATTATAGCAGCGTCTCACTGAGCCAAAATCCTCCAGGGTCTGCCTTCAACTTCGTTTACAGCACAATGCACAAAGAACAGATGTGCTGTATCAATGACGGATGTTAATGTACAGTGGGTTGACGGGAAGAAGTGCTTCTTTCAGCACACTTGCTTTGGCATCACTCCAGTTGCTAAAGAAACACGTAAACTATGCTAAGTGGGTCTATTTTGACTATTATCTTAGCTTTGACTGATTCTCTACAGCAAACTGACATGAAATACTGGGATCAGACCAAACAACGCATTATTATGTACTACAACCTTTGACCACACATCTTGCAAACTTTTTGCACAATCAAGGCTATGCAAGCACTAATCATCTTCATCCACCCCTCTTCCACATACCTGGCCCTCTGAAGCTTGGTTCTTAGCATGGGTGTTCAGGTCATGGTAGGTACTCTCAGAGTCCTCGTTTAGGTAGTAGATCAACCGAGAGGGGTAGGTGATCACATGCTCTACTGCATGGTGTGTTGTGTTGTCTGTGGTGGGTGCTGCAGTTGCCTGTTGCTTCAGCAGAGCCGACACTGCGTCCCTCTCAACCTTGTCCTCTACTCCTTGAACCTCTGCAAGGGATTTTTTACAGCACAGATACATATATATGTTTTTTAAAACTACAGATATGCACAAAGGTATCATCTTTAATTCATTAAACACAATTGTTACACTGAGGCAAGTGGCTTTAGCTTTATGCCAATTTTATGACACAGTTCATCTGCAGTGATTACATGCAGCAGTATACTCAAAAACTAATAGCCACCACCAATTACACTGATTTGGAACACAGACTATAAACTGCCTCATTTAAATAAAAACCACTTTTGATACGGTTATTGCCAAAGTAAAAACTGCACCAGATAAATACTGTTCTCATTTAATCCGGCGTGCCTGGATAATATCACGCACTTGAACAAACACAGAGCCTGTGTGTTAGACTTAATTCAAGCGTAGTAAATATCCATAACAGTGATCATTGTGTTTTTACTAGCTGAACAAAAGATGCTGAGATGCTGTAGTCTGCCCTCATGCAGCATCACGCTAAAGACGCAGCGTATTAAATACAATAATTCCCGGTGGCTTCCGAGGAACGCTGTTATAGATCCAAAGCACATCACCAAACAATATTTCAGCACAAAGCACAGAGTGGTAAGCGTACGCGATCACATTAAAGTGACAAAAAAGCCAGCAGGCTGTGGCAGTACCTACCGAGTGAAGCTAGTGATGGATGAAGCCAAGGCAAAAGGATGCTGACGAGCAAAGTGGCCAGAAATATCAAATGCATGATTCATATTTGATAACTGAAATATCTCAATATCAACACATCAACGCAGTTAATTGCTCGCGGCCCATCGTGGCGGGGGAGGTGCCGTGGAGGGGGGATCTCTTCATGGATGCAGGAGACACCGGGTTTTACTGCTGCAGTAGCGGAAGAGGAGGAGGAGGAAGAAGCGGAGAGAGGAGGGGTGGGGGTGGGGGGCTGAAAGAAGGCGGTGGCCAGGAGGCAGCTACTGGAAGTCTACCAGCAGGTTGCTGCTCCTCCTTGATGAGCTCAAATGCCCTTTCTCACCACAGACACAATCAAGTGAGAAAGGACACTACCACTGATATAATATAATATAATATACTATAATAACATAGTAGTTACATTATGTAGGCACTTGCCACTGTAAACAATACCAGTATAGAATAATCGTTCGACTTTCAAGTTTGGTTTCTGTGGTTTTCTAATTAAAGAAAATGTCAAACTGTGTCTGCTGGGAGAGAAAGTACTGGGACCATTCAGCAGCACCATAATCTTCTGAAACGGCTCCATGTATTATCAGCAGCGTAAACCAGACCGTGTGCTGTAATTGCTCTTTAATAATTATCAGTATTATTCAATATGTAACTTTTATCTGTTGTGTAAAGGTGCCTTGAGTCAAAACCTAGTTCTAACATCCTTAAAGTGGTAGTTTTTATGATAACTCACATGGTGCATTTTCCTGAATGTTTTACCTGAGCTGTGCGGATGCGCAGAAAACCCGGGGCCAGGTAGTATTCCAGTAATTTGGGACTCTGTGGTGCATAATAAAGCTGCCCCCCCCCCCCCCCCCCCCCCCCCCCCATAGTGTGTGCTCATTCACAACTGGGGTCTAAAAGCACATTTTCGCCCAAGGGCTAGAGCAAATTTATCCACCCATTCGACATAAAATTACTGTATGCAGCCATAGTTGTACTTAATTAGTTATTACGCTCATATGAGTGAAATACTGCATAACATTTTAAGCTGATGATATGTTTTAACTGCCTAATCTGGTATCTTTGTTTTTGTGAGGGCAGACATATAATAAGAACAAAGCCTCATTAATAGGACACACTTGAATTTGTCTAATTTTTAAAAAAAGAAACAAATGAATCTCAGTAAATGTTTAATGTGGACAATATAGGTGTAATTTAGTTGTTTGTATGTTATACTTTAACACTCTATAAACCCATGCGTAATAATTTTTATGTAATTAACACTTTATTAATCCTAATTAGTGTATAACTAGGGTAACAATTAACTAACCAGGGACTGTAATATAAGATGTTATAAAACAGTAAATGGTTTGTAAATGCATTTGAGGCAAAAATTAATGTAATATTTCCACCTGAAATCTACTCAAGCACTATAAAACAACATGAAACTTACATGCTTATGCAGGGGTGGATCTACAGCCGGGTAAGGGAGGGCAACTGCCTTTGAACACCCACCCCCCTTCACCCAGAACTTTTCTAGTTCTGCCCCAGTGCTGATGCAAAGTATTCCCATTTTTAATAAACTACTAGAAAAAATTTGCATATTCACTTCACTGCTACAGCCTCATTCACTGCAGGTGCTTTCTGTAGCTTTTTGAAAACATCATGTGAAAAAGAACGTTTTCACATGACTCTTTTCAGAAAATATGAAGTACACCCTTACTGACCCCATTGAAATTCAGACGTAACGCAGCAGCCAGGTGCTGGTGATCAAATAAACCACATTAAAAGATCATCAGAAAGTGTAAGCACTTCTACTAAAACTGTAACAGTTTGCTGGTTCGGAGCATCCAGTTGTGCGCAAAGGTGTCACGTGTCAAATTTTTTCCCAAGGTCAGACCATGCAGTGCTCACATCTCAGATCCTACAGTCCTCAGTTCGCATGACAGGTAGAAAGCATCTTCTCTCTAAAAACAACATGTCAGCTTAGGTTACCAACGTTGCATCTAAACAAACCACAAGACTTCTGGAAGACCTGTGATTACCTTTGGACTGACAAGTGGAGGCCATCAGTCTGACAGATAAAGTTTGGCTGAAACTGGGTCAATCAGCAGGACATTGATCCCATGTACAGCAGCAAATCTACAACAGAATGGCTGAAAAAGACAAGATTCAAAGTGCCAAAGTGGCCCAGTCAAGGTGCAGACATCAACCCCACTGAAACGCTGTGGTGGTATCTTAAGATAATTTTGCATAAACAAAAGCCCACAAACCTCAAGGAGCTTAAGTGCTGCAAAGAAGAGTGAGGCAAAATTCCTCCACAACAATATGCCAGACCGATAAACACATACAGAAAACAATTATATCAAGTCATTGCTGCTAAAAGTGGTTCTACAAGATACTGAGGTGTACTTAGTTTTTCACGGGACTGCAGAGAGTCCTGTGAAAACTTTCTTTTTCACGTGGCTGTATATGCCCTGTTCATGTCCTAATAGACAGAGGACATGCGCATGTGTCTCAGTTCACTATGATAGTGAGCCATTGTAAAAAAAAAGAAAGAAAAGAAAAACAAGGTCTTGCTCTTGAAGAGCACTAATGGATCAGAGCATCACTAATTTTATTATGTACACCATACAAAAAAGGACCATACAGTATAACAGGCAAGCTTCTATTTTAGGATGTCCGGTTATGGATCCCAGCTATAAAAGCAGGACAAATCTACATACTTATTTTTCATACTGACATTTTATTGATGTGAAGTATGTAACATATACCTCTGAAAACATTCTAAATGTAAACAAAAAACAGGAGTTTTGTTCAGGTGAGCTGCTGCTAAATGTTTTTCATCCATCCTATGTTTAAAAAATTTGTACAGTAATTTTTGGTAAGCCTATTTTGGCCACCGATCTGACAAAAACAAGCATGAGTGCTTGTAAATTTCAGCATGAGTGATGTAAATGATCAGCATTTTCAAGAATTTCTTGGAAAATAAGGAATTGAAACATGAAACTGAACAGAAGTGTGCGTCAGTAATGACGACAGCTCTTATAAGTTTCCATAAAAGTCTGTGTGAAACGACATGGGTGTGTGACAGTGCCCATGTATGAATATCACTGGATGATGTAACGGTAAGGTTTGATTGTTAGCCTCCATAATTTGGTGGAAACAGAGCTGTTGTAGGATGTGACAGCTCCCCCCTCAGGACTGCATAGTCCACAGTGAAGCGACATGTTCACTTTGAGCTTAAGATTAATATGAAACTGTGTGAATATCTGATGAAACAAACGGTGATGAGCAAGCAGTAGTGGTAGTATGAACTCCCTGCCAGTTAAATCTTATTAATGATAGGATAGAAAGAGTTATTTGACGATTTGACTCGTAAAGAGGTTTCAGATTGTGATGTGACAGCATGTTTTGTGCTGGACGGCTGATAGAGAAATGTGATGACCTTACTAATTGGAGCGTAGCCATAAGTGCAATGTGTTTCAACATCTCAACCCACAGAGAATATTGTGGCACCACTGATTACAGACTGTAACACAGAAATGTGTCTATTTTTCTCTATAATTTTCGATTTAGACACACATGCCGGCTGTATTTATGTATGTAAACAGCCTGTTTCCCCTCTGTAATTACATCAGACATTGTTGCAGCACATATTTACTTCCACTTCCATTCCCCAGAGCAAGTAAAGCAAGTTTGAAGCATAAAGTAAAGTTGTGATGATTGAACAGAGAATGTGTGTAGTTAGCCATCCATCACACATAAATGCATTTCATCTTAGTGTGGAAAATATGATGGGTTAAGGTCCTTTAATGTATTACACAGAAAAATAAAACATTATATGTTACATTTAACTGGTCTAACTACGTAATAACTCCATTAAAACCCTATGAGGACAAATTACGCCACTATTAATCATTTTTATTGTTTATTGTTTGCTGTTAACTGAATGTATACCAATCAAGTACGTTTAATTTGACCAGATTCCATTAAAAGTAACATTTTACATTGTACTTCTGAAACAAATTTACATGGAAACTGTACATGTAATTCAATTAGTTCAAGTTTTTTTTTAATTGCTGAATTTTTCTGAGTGTACCTTAACTTTTAAACTTGTGCTTTGCCTGAATTTCAACTTGGCTATGAGAATGCTCACTTTACAGAGCATGTGTTGCATACTTTGAACAACTGAATGTTGAACTGAATGTTTGTTGTGTTGCCGGAGAAGCTTTCATCAGGAAACAAACTAAAACGAGGAGCAGCTGAGTTATGTCAGCTTGTGCTGTCCACACTGTGTATATGTACATGTGGGTGTGTACCGGGAAGCAGCTAATGAAAGGCATTACAGCTGCACAGATTTATGATTGCATGTAGGTGTAGATTTTCATGGATCTACAGTGACACACTTCATAGTGTAGGGCTCAAAATCTGGCTTTTGCAAATCAAGCTTGATTTTATAAAAAGAAAATTCTGGCCTTGCACATTTTTTCTAGCTTTCTGTCTCCCTGTTTTTCCCCTTAACTGGAATTAAAAAAAAAAAACCCCCGACAAGTCTGCAAATTAAAAGCAGAAGGAAGAAGCTGCCGACAGCCCGGAACCCTTTTCTATGCAAGCTTCCACGGTGTGTTTGCGAGAGAGAAAAAAATCAATCAATGATAAAATAAAATTTGCAACATTCGTAACTTTTCCGTCTATCCCCTGATGGGGGGAAGCTTGCGTTCCTGGTTCGCTCTGCAGTTAGGAAGAACAGCCCCAGTTTTGCTGAATGGCCGCATTCAACTTTCAGAGCACTGACCAATAACTTTTCTTCCCTCTTTCACGCGTCAAACAGGCGCACCCACTGTGTAACCCCCTAACACTCTGCTCCGCGTTTAGTCTGGATGGAAAGAGTTGATGCAGACTAGTGGGAAGTTCAGAACAAGGCCCAGCATAACGGAGCTAAAAGGCTAAGACAGCGGGAGCTGTGACATTATCACCCGGGAGGAGCTGGTGTTTAGACCCAAACGCGGAGGGCTGCGCTCTTTGGTAAGCGATCCACCTTTAAATTCTAAAGGAAAAAAACAAAACAAAAACCAAGTCTATGTTTCTTTTCTTTCCAGTGTGCCAATAGTGTGTATGTGGCACTAATTTTGTTAGAGACTGACGCTTCGTATTTGCAGGCTGGTTATTTTGTCCAGCTCATAAGTCGTAACGGTTTACTGGGATC